TCCTGTGTTCTTAAAGATGTGAGTCTCATGCACCTTCCCTGATCAACCAACATTGATGTCGGTGAAGCATCCCCGATGATCCACCAGCACTTGCATGACCATAGAAAAGTAGCCCTCTCTGTTGATGCACTCTGTGGCAAGGAGGTCTGTGTCAAAGTAGGGATATGGATGCCATCTATTGCCCCACCACAGTTTGAGAACCCCATTGCTGCAAAACCCTCCACTAAGTCCTGCACATTGCCGAGTGTCACAGGCCTGCACAGCAGGAGGCAGTTAATGGCCCTGCACGCTTGCATCACAACAACCCCTATGGTGGATTTCCCGACTGACCAGTAGCGGTGGCTGGGAGCTGCAAGGGGAACCATATTTCCCAAAGAGAAAATGGGACTCCCCCAGCCACTCACCCGAACCCCTTCCCCCTCCCCTGCCCCCCACGAGGCTGTTGCCTGTCGCTGGAACCCTGCGGGACCCCCGGGACTGAAGCAGAAAATGTCAAAGTTGTCTCTGGAAGTCATGGATTCTGTGACTTCCATGACATAGACGTAGCCTTAATCATCATGTTCCCCACTCATTTAGGTTTTTCTTGCAGCTCTGCAAATACTCCAGGATCATGTGTCCTGTGCTTGCAGCGCTCATGATAATAGTGCAGAGCTGTGCAGGCTCCAGACTTCTGTCAGAGATGGTGGACAGCAAGGAGGGACACAGGTTTGTGGGATTTTTAAAAAAAGGCATGAAAATTATGGGATACAGATAACATTATGGGATGGAGACAGTTGCACACTGGGAAGCTGAGTCCTTGCTCCCAGTCACCCCTGTGTGACTCATTTCTGCCCCATCCCAAAAGACATGGTGCTGCACAGTGGTGAATTGCACAGTGAGATACCCACTCATGGCGTGCTGCACTCTGCATTGACACAAGCACTCCTGGTGAGTACGTGCACCACCAACACAAAGAGCCATGTGTGCATGCGCACAAACAATGTACTAACTGCAGCGGCTGTATGCCGATGTAACTCAAGTCAACAGAAGTGTGTAGTGTAGATGTGGCCTTAGACTGTCAGCAGGGCAGGGGCTGTCTCTTTGTTCTGGGTGTGTCCAGCACCTGTGGCTCAGCCCCTACAGTGGTATCACTGCTCTCCGTACAATAGCTGGGGTTCAAGTGTTGTAAATGCGGAGCTGCAGGCCCTAGAGGTTGCAGCCTGGGGAGAGGAGGCCACAGGGCGATGAGGTGGGCCAGGAGCCCCAGGAATTGCTGTCTGTGGTGAGGTGCCTGGAGCCAGAGAAGCAGTGAAGGGGCTGACAGGGGGTTGACTCCCCCACTTTGGAAGAGATTCCAACCCTGGAGAATCAAACCCTGGACTTCATGAGCTGACCACTTCTGGGTGCACCTCCCCCTGGGCAGCGGCTCCCCACAGAACAAGCCATTTCCCCTATGACTAGCACCACAGGCACTGCTGTAGGGCTAGGACTTAACTCACCCATAAACCAGCCTTGATCTGCCTTGGGTGAAACTCAGGGATTTCAGCACTGCGATTAAGAAAAAATGCTCTGCTGCCACCGAGCGCCCCCAGCTCAGAAATATCCCTAACAATAGTTATAACACCAAGGGCTGTAGAGCCCCCCCCCCCTCACCGAGGCCCTAGGAAATGTAGGGAGGAAACAGAAAGACCCAAACAAATGGTAAAATAGCTAAGCTAAGCTCGGACGATCTGCACAGACAGAAAAACAGAGAATATCATAAATAAGTTACAATTAGGGCATGAGAGAGAAAAAATGTAAAAAAGACTTGAGCAGGAAGGAGAAAACATAGGTGCTAGTGCACAATTGGTTCCATTTTGTTACCTAGGTGTATCGAATAGTATGATAGGATAGTGAGGGTAAAGGAAGGAGCTAGTTTTACCTACAGAATGTAAATGAAAAACAATGTTCTCTGGGAACCATCTCTGGACTGCAGTTTAACATCAAGCTGCTGGAACTCTGACCCCTCTGCACGACCGTGACGTACAGAGACATCGCTGGGAACCCCCAGACGAATGAATCCTGACTGGCCATCGGGTTAAATTTGTCTGTATATTGGGAGTGTTGAGCATAAGAGATGTTCTTGGTATATGTATTGTGTGTGTGTTGCTAATAAATAGATGTTTAGAGCACAGCTGTGTAAGGCTCATTTGCTGGGAAAAGGGCCCACAGACCCATAGAGCCCTGAGCCCCATGGAAAAGGGCGGGTACTTAAATTGTCCAGGTTTCTCCCTGAGCCCCGGGGGTAAGGTGTGATGCTGTATGGAATATGGGGAACACCTTGTGATATTGATACCAATATTATAAAATTACAAGGAATCTGACAGATATGCCATGTAAAGTATCTGTGAAAATGTTATGATTTGCCAAGTATGATGATCTAGTTCAGGGGTCGGCAACGTTTGGCACATGGCTCGCCAGGGTAAGCACCCTGGCGGGCCAGGCCAGTTTATTTACCTGCTGACGCGGCAGGTTCACCGTCCCGGGCCAATGGGGGCGGCGGGAAGCCGCGGCCAGCACATCCCTCGCCCGCGCTGCTTCCCACCGCCCCTACTGGCCTGGGACGGCGAATCACGGCCAGTGGGGGCCGCGATCGGCTGAACCTGCCGCGTCAGCAGGCAAATAAACTGGCCCGGCCCGCCAGGGTGCTTACCCTGGCGAGCCGCGTGCCAAACGTTGCCGACCCCTGATCTAGTTTATATGTTTGTATCAACCTTTGTATTGTGAAAAGCGACAAAGAGTCCTGTGGCACCTTACAGATTAACAGAAGTATTGGAACATAAGCTTTCGTGGGTGAATACCCACTTCGTCAGACGCATGTGGTGGAAATTTCCAGAGGCAGGTATAAATATGCAGGCAGGAATCAGTCTAGAGATAACGAGGTTAGTTCAATCAGGGAGGATGAGGCCCTCTTCTAGCAGTTGAGGTATGAACACCAAGGGAGGAGAAACTGCTTTTGTACTTGGCTAGCCATTCACAGTCTTTGTTTAATCCTGAGCTGATGGTGTCAAATTTGCAAATGAACTGAAG